CTGTCTCTAATAAAATACAAAAAAATAGAGATGGGGATGTGGCTCGGTGATTGAGTGCCCCTGAGTTCAATCCCTGATACCAAAAAAAAAAAAAGAATGCTTACAAATCAAGAAGAAAATCCCAATGACCCTTAAAATATTCATATTAAAGAATGCTTGCTCTGGCCCATAAAAGAAATGTTCAGGAAAATTACACTGTGATACTATTTGTCGCCCACCAAATTTGTAAAATCAAATTTAGAAAAACCCTCTATTTCTATTGGCAAGAAAATGGGGGGAATACATGCTCTTATGTTGTTAATGGGAATGTAAATTGGTTCAGTAGTCCCCTTGGAAGACCATTTGGGCAGTAGCTATCAAAATCACAAACTTGTGTACCCTCTGACCCAGCAATTCTACTTCTGGGAATTTACTTTACAGATCCTTGCACATGTGCAAGATGAAATATATACAAGTTATTAATTTGCCATGTTTTATATAATTGCAAACCTGAAAATAATCAAAATGCTCAACCACAGGGGATGGGCTAAATAAATTATGATCCATCTATCCAGAGGAATATTAGGACTATAAAATCTGACTGAAGAGGAGATGTGAGCAGCAGGGACAGAGTAAGAACCTTTGAAAATTCACTCCTCTATAAAAGCAACCGAAGAACTGCGAAGATTGATCAAAATCAGCTTTTTCAGAACTCTGGAAATTAACCAGAGGATTGCATCAAGCCAAACATCTATTGAACAAAAACAGTTGAGAGCCAGGCACGGTGATGCACGGCTGTAATCCCAGCAGCTCGGGAGGCTGAGGCAGGAGAATCCCAAGTTCAAAGCCAGCCTCAGCAAAAGCGAGGCACTAAGCAACTCAGTGAGACCCTGTCTCTAAGTAAGTTACAAATAGGGCTGGGGATGTTGCTCAGTGATTAAGCACCCCTGGATTCAATCTCTGGTACCAAAGAAAGAAAATAAAATCAGTGGAGTTTTGGTTAAGTACCCTGAGATTGGTGGAGATGTAATTTGCCCTCGCCAATCCCTGGCTCTCTGGCTCAGTTCTGATTCCCAGGAAAGACAGCACTAGGGTTCTTTTGAAGCCTTATTGGCCTGTCTGGTGGGTCCCTGAAAGACCTCATTCAAAATTTTTGTCTCTATTTGAACTAACTCAGAACTCTCCGGTGTTAAAGCCTCTCCCAAGTGCATTTATCAAAAACTGTTACAGGCCGGGTGTGGTGGAGCAAGCCTGTGATCCCAGCAACTCAGGAGGCTGAGGCAGGAGGATCACAAGTTCAAGGCCAGCCTTAGCAACTTAGTGAGAGCCTGTCCCAAAATAAAAAAATAAAAAGGACGGGGGATGTTGGCTGAATGGTAAAGGTGAAGTGCCTCTGGATTCAATCCCCAGTACAAAACAAACAAACAAAAAAACACAGTAACAGGCAGGTGTTTTAATGTTGCAACTGCCAGAGGTCATGAATAGACTAAAACCCCAAAATAGACTAACTAAAATAATAGATAAATAAACGATAAATACATAGACAATAAATAATAGACTAAAAATGAAAACTTTTTCCAAAAAGAAAAAAATTGAGAAACAAGATGTCCAAAGAGACCTTGCAAAAGTCCACCATAGCCCTAGAAATCCAGAAGGCCACATGCAAGCCCAAGGCTGTGCCCAGGCTCACCAAAAACCAAGAAGGCTCTGAGCTGCTACACCCAGCTTACTTTCTACACAGTGGCCTTTCATGCACAGTCTTTTGGGTGTTTTTTTTTTAAGGCAAGTTCTCTGACACCAAGCCACACCCCCAGGACTCCTTTTCTGTCATTTTATTTTCAAACTATTTGTATCTCTGAGCTGAATTGACAGCATCAGGGGACAGGTCAACAAAACCCAGGCGGAGAGGCCTCTAAGACCTACTCATAAAAGGAAAGGGTGGACAGGGAATTCTGGATAAGACTTCAGTTGTGTGTGATGGTGCACATGAGTATTCCCAGGGACTCAGGAGGCTGAGGCAGGAGGATCACAAGTTCGAGGCCAGCCTCAGTGATTTAGCAAGGCCCTAAGCAACTTAATGAGACCCTGGCTCTAAATAAAAATACAAAAAGGGCTGGGGATGTGGCTCTGTGATAAAGCACTCGTGGGGTTCAATCTCTGGTATGAAAAAATAAAAAATAAAATATTGACAGGCACTCTGTCTGCTGGTGGAAATGTGGGTGTTTCTGGTATCACTTTGAACTTCTCGAATTTCCAGAAAGAACATAATAGAAAAGTTCACCTTTACTGGACTGGTTGTGGTGTGAAAAATCCATCCAGTTCCTTTGTGTAGGTGTGCAAGTGTGTGTGCATGTTGAGTGTGAGCATGGGTGTGGGATTACATGTATGAGGCTGAGTGTGAGCGGTGGGGGTTGTGAATGTACCTCTGATGTGTATTTGAACCCATCCGACTGGGTGAAGAAGAACGTGTGTGTGTGTGTGTGTGTGTACGTTACGTGGGGGGGGGTGTGGGTGAAGATAGATGTGTAAGCAGGTGTGTCTGCACGTGTGGGTGGGTGTGAATGGGAGGAGGGTGTGAGTGTGAGTGTGACTGGAGGGGTGCATGCTTTGCGGGCAGGCCTGGCCTCCACTCCAGGTCCTACCCAAAGAGGGACCCGGCCAGGCCTGGACCGAAGTAGTGAACACTACCTCCCTGAGCAGGCCGCAGCCTCTCTTGGGATCCACTGGCTCAGCTGATCAGGGGCTGGCGGCCAGAGTGGGGGACACCCGTCACCCTCCAGGGGGTCTGTGGCTGAGCCACAGCTGCTGACAGCCCCGTGTGGTGAACTGCATGCCCCCCGCGTGCCTGGGCCATCTCTGCCCAGCATCTCACACACCAGCCCATGTCATCTGCCCCCCTAGAGGCCAGCCTCGTGCCTCTGCACTCCTGAACCCTTCACCCCCATCTCTGCAAGACACCTGCTCCCTCCCACACCAGACAGAGGGAGCCTGAGCTTTGCGGAAGCAGGAAAGCCACCAGCCCTGGGAACCATGCGGTTCTGAGCTGCACAGAGGAAACCATAGGGAGGAGTGGGGACAGCGAATCCCTTGCCAGGACTGCCTGAGTGTCACCAGGTGCCACAAGTCAGACAAGCATAAGACGTAACAGCAGAGGGAGGCCCAGAGGAGGGGACCCCGTGCTCCTTCCACAGAAGCCCCCGCCTCGAACTCAATCCAGACGACAGCCCTTCCCCAGCGTCCTCACGCTCCCCACCCCTGGGTGGCATGTCCACCTACTGAGCCTGGAAACACGACACGGGGTGGGGTGGTCACAGTGCCTGTGTAGGGATGCCACTACACCCTTTCAGCCTCAGCCGTGGGAACTCTGTCCCCTCAGGGAGGCTGGAGATGGAGGGGCTGGGAAGGGCCCACTGGGCTTCAAGGTGACCCGTCCACACTCGTGCCACTGTGTCCTTTGCCAACACCATAGAGCAAGACCTCTCTCTCCCGTTCATTCTGGGGGGTGCGGGGGTGCAGCTTGGGCTTCACTCAGGCCTGGCTCTGACCCTCGGCCTCTGGGAAAGGAGGTGACACTCAGGTCCAGGGACTACTCCAGGACTGCAGGAGACCTGACTGGACCCTGGCCCTGAGCTTTGGGCAGGGTGCTGACCCCTAAGGCCTCCCCATGTCACCTGCTAAACAAAGGGCCGTAGCAGCCCACCAGGACTCTGGCTCTGAGGTCAGGCCGTGTCCTGCCTCAGTCTCTTGTGTCACTGGGATTACAGGTGTATGCCACTGTACCCAGCAGGTCCCCAACTGTTGAATCTCTACTGGTGGGACCTCTAGAGAGTGTGGAAGTGGCAAACCATGGTGCCAACGCTGCCCAAGGACCAGCTCCAAGAAGAAGCTGGAAGCATCTCAGAATGGCTCTCCTGCTGTGAACTGGGGGCCACTTTGTCAAGGCAACAGGCAGCACATTTCACAGCTCTCAGCCTGGGCTCCGGTGCCAGCCACCCTCCCCAGGGATCAATTCCCCAGTCCCAGTCTCCCTGGAGTTTCCTCCCAGGCCGAAGTGAGCTGTGCGGAGCGTGGTGAGCTCGGAGAACTATCTTGGATGGGACTGGGAAGAACAGCGGCCTCTGACCCTGCGCCACCATTTCAACTGAGGGCAGCACTTCCTTTGAGGACAAGCCAGGAGAAGGTATACGTTGACATCCCTGCAGTCACTCTGTTATGGGCCAGCCCTGGGGCCTTCCGCTTCCTCCCTGTGCTGGCCAGAGCCTCTCCTAAGGGCCCAGGTCTGGTGAAGGTGCTTTGCTTCAGACTGATGCTGCAAATCTGCCCTCTCCAGGGGACCCACAGCGAAGGAGCCTCTTACATGAGGCCCTGGAGCATGAGATTCAGAAACAGAAAGTAGAAGGGCTGGGGGTGGCTGGAGGCAGAATGTCTGCTCAGCAAGCCTGAAGCTCCCAGTTCAATCCTAGCCCTGTCACAAGGTGGAGTGGAACGGGGGTGCCAGGGGCTGGGGTAACAGGTCAAGTGGAGCTGGTGCTAAACGGGGCCAGGGAAATTGAGAAAGTTCGGGAAGCGAGTGGTGGTGAACACACAGTAATGCAAATGTGCTTAATACCTCTGAAGTCACTGAATGGTGACTTTGTTTTTTAAATATACATAATAAAACAAGTGAATAAACATGCTTAACCTGGGTGCAGCTGACCTGACCCTGCCTTTCAGCTCTCCCGCCAGTGGAGCCTTTGTGCAGTGTGGATCCTGCGCAGTGCGGTATCCGGTGCCCGTCCTGCTGGCACAGCGTGGCCTCCCCACCTTCTCAGCATCCCTGGCCTGCCAGGGCCAAGTCATCACCTCCGGATGCCCCCACCCTTGGGCTGTGGGTCTCTGGTCTCTCTCCATGCATCTGTTTGGGGACCCTGGCCCCCAAGCATATCCACCTTCCACCATAGAAGTGAACAGACCCCCGGGCCCAGGGAGGGAGGGTCTGAGGTGAAAGCTCACCTTCCCACTGGAAGGACCACACGGCTGCCTGGCTGTGTAAATCAAGTCCACTTTATTTGAAATTTTCCACATGCCACAAATGTACATGAAAATACCCATTCAGAATGTAGTTTGTTAGAACACCAAATTTAGAAGTGGGTGTCACTGTAAGAGGCCACACATGGGCAGTTCCACCAGCTGGGCAGGGAGGGGAGTTGGTCATCAGAAGGCAGGAGTGGTGGTTTAGCACCTGGCCACAAGACGCTAGGAGACCCCTGGGCCAGGGACAGGCTTCAGCCCCTCCCCCCCCCAAAAAAAAATCCACCCTGAGTTCAGCTGGTTCCAGGCAAAGCACGCAGGCAGGTCCTGGTACTGGTCACAGGTGGCAGCGCAGAGGCTGGGGAGATGCCACTGTGGGACGCATGCCACCCACGAACAGCGCACACATGCGCACATGCACAGCACACTCCTGCTTGCCTCGGACGTCCCTGCTCACACGCGCTCGTTCCTGCTCACACAGGCCGTGGCCACAGCACAGTGGCCAGGGCTCCGCTCACATGCCACCCTGGGCTTCCTGGGCTTCGCAGCAGCAGCAGCTTCTGTGGCTCTGTGGCAGATGCAACCAGTCAGCACCCGGCCTGTGGCAGTGGCTCTCAAGCAGAGTGACTGTGGCGATGTCGTTCAGCCTGCGTGGGACTGACGCCAGGCGGAAGCTTCTGTGGAATACTTGTTCATTGTGCCCCATGGACCCTGGTAACTGCTCATTAGAACCCTGTGCCCCCAAATGCAAATGACACCAGTACAAAGAGCCCCTGGTGTTGTGGCTGGGCCTCCGAGAAGGGCAGGCAGCAAGGCCTGCCACACGCAGGGGGCACGGTGCGCCTCAGCTCTGGGCTTCACTGCCCCGCTCACCCCAGGTCTGTCTCCTTTCCCCCACAGGAGCATGGGAGTTTTAGATCCTGAGAGGGGCAGATCACAATGAAGGGGAGCACAAGCCGGGGTGAGGGCTGCCCCCATCCTCCCTAAGGGAGCACCACCACACAGGTCCCAGCTGGGGACATGCTCCTGGACCCCCAGAGGCTCAGCCTTAACTCCCACAGCTCCACTGCCCAACAGACTGACCCGGGCCAGCCCTGCACCATCCAGCGAGTGGGCCTCAGCATTGGGTGCTGGTGCAGGGAGCAGGTGAGGGAGCTGCGGCCCTCAGCACAAGCCCAGCTCACTTTCAGCCTGAGGAGCTCAGCTGGACTGGCCGCAATCCCGAGCCCGAGCTTCCCAGCCCAGGTCCTTGCACGGTCTCTGCAGGGCACTATTGGGGGGGAGAGGGGGTGACCACATCCCTGTGGTAAGAAGGACTGAAGTGCTCCTGTCTCTGGACAAGATCACTTGCTATAAAAATAAGGAAAGCCACCCCGGGGCAGGAAGGGGATCTGGGGGCAGAAAAGCCTTCCCTTCAGAAGCCCAGGGCCAGCACGCTGCCATGCCGAGCAGGCTGCAGGGCCTCAGGACACACGGCCTGCCAGACGGCAGGAGACCAGGGTGGCTGGTTTGGGCTGAGGCGGAGGTGGCAGCCACAGATCATGGGATTTCTCTTCTTAATAACAAAGAAATAAATGCACTGACCTCCTCCCTCCTGCCCACCTCCCCAGTCAAACTCACGTGCACATACATGCACACAGTGGACGCAGACTCGTGTGCAGATGCGTACAGACGGGCACCAATGAACACATGGGCACGTGTGCAGGTGCAGACACACGCACAGGCTCACAGGCAATGCTCCTTGGCAGGCAGCATACGGTCCACCACTGAATAGCCCAGTCCTGCCAACTGGGGACATTAGGGTGGGTCCTCTTCCCAGTGTAAAACGCTACCAAATATTGATCGCAATTAATATCGGTGCCAAAACAGCACTTAGAGAGAGTAAGCCCGTTGCTGACATCTGTGACCCTGTCTCGGGGCAGGAGTGAAAATTCTCACTCTAAGTCAAAGGACTGTTGCAGGGACACTACACTACACGGTCTACTGCCTGGGCGCCGCTTTCTGAGGCTGCTTGTACCCCCAGCGGCTCCTGACAGCCCCCGCCCCACCCAGCCCTTTTTATGAGAATAAATTAATGCTGCTGGGTACATGGCTTGCTGCCAAGGAGAGGCCACCCGGGCAACATCCCCAACACAGCTTCAGCCTTTTAGAAAAACTCCTAGTGGAAAGACAGTCTCTGCTGAGCTGCAGAGCAAAGAAGGGCTCAGGCCAGGGCAGTCAGAGCCCAAAGTCACAGGGCCTCTGAGGTTCCAGGACCTTCCAGGTCACCTGCCTCTCTCCTGGGCCTGTCAGGCTATGACCAGCCACACTCTCACTTTGAGGACAAGCCACCAGTCCCAGGGGCCCACAGAATGTAACCTGAACACCCTCACTAGTGGCCTTCAGGTGCCAGTTTAAGTTCTAAAGAAATGTCCAGTAACGGGGTGGGGTGGGATTTGTCACCACCCTTCCGACCCTTGTCTACAGCTGTGTGAGACCCTGGCCCTGCCCCCAGGTCCCCAGGCAGCCTGTCCTATGGCCTGCAATGCCAGGAGGGGACAGGCTGGGTTTGCAGCTCTCAGAGGCAAGGTCAGGATTCCCAGGGTGAAGGCTCCAGGTCTAGCCAGCAGGCAAAGGTCCCTTGGCTGACTGTAGCCTGGGACAGGATAGGGGGGACCTGTGCTTTAGAGAGGGGTGAGGATTCCCTCACACAAGAAAAACGGTGCAGAGGGAGAGGGCCTTTGACATAGACCCACCTGTGCACACAAAAGTGAGCTGCCGGGGCAGGGCAGGGACAGACAGGAGGAAGAGCAGGGGAGAGGCCGGACTCACACCTTGTGGAGACCAGGATCAATGCAAGTGCCAGGCTGGGCCCCAGCCACACGGGAGGGCCCCAGGATCCCTGGGCTGGGCAGAGCTTCTGAGCAGCTGGCCCATAGGGCCCAGGCAAGGCCGGCCCCCACCCAGGGACTAGTTTACCTGCTTCTGCATCAGCAGGGAGCGTGCAGGACACCACTGCACTGTGCAGGAACCTGCTGCAACAGAAACCCAGAGGAAAAGAGCAGGCGGGTGTGGGTGGAAGCTCCGCAATGAGGGGGCCTGGTGGCTCTGCAGCCCTAGCCCAGGGGATCGGGAAGCAGCCACTGCACAGACCCCGCAGCCAGAATGGATGCATCAGGTGACACCAGGGCTGCAGGGGACCAATCCTGGATGCGGCTGGGGTGGGAGTCCAGGAAGACAGGACTCAACCAGGGCCCCTCCGAAACCCCCGGCCATGGGACATGGTGCCAGGAGTCCTAGGAGCAAACACAGCGGCCAGCCAGTCAAGTGTGAGGCCCCAGACACCGGAGGGACCTTCTTCATTTCTGGAACAGTTTTGTAGGATTTGTTTCTAAAACTAAATAAGGTCACCTGCAGCAGGGGGATCTGACTACTACTCCAACCTTAAGCATCCGATCTGGAGTTTATTCTAACAAAGCCAAGGGCATGTGCTTCCTCCGAGGTACACAGCACTTCAGGGGAGCTAAAGTTTCTAGAGCCAGTGCCACGAATCGTGGCCCCTGGGGACACAGCTCAGCTCCCAAGGCCTAGCCCAGGAGAGCCCCACCCAGCAGCCCTGCCCTGGGGTCCCCTCTGGGTACAGGCATCACCTAGAGAAACACCTCTCAGACATAGCTGGGCATCTTTTTTTTTTTTTCGTGGTGTTGGCGATGGAACCCGGGGCCTCAGCACATGCTTCGCAAGAGCTTTACCACTGAGCCACCCCAGCCTTAATGTCTTCATGGTAGAAAGCACCCCAATTCTGCAGCCACCAAACTTGTGGACATCCCGCCACCTCAAGGAGATGCCACCTTACCCCCGATAGATGGGCAGTCACCTGTCCATGGGGCCCGATGGCTGAGGACACTAACACAGGAGCAAGGACACTCCTATGGCTGAAGTACAGCATGGGCAGGGCCAGCAGCCCACCCAGCACCCCGGCATGCAGGCAGGCGTGGAGAGTGGACGATCTAGCAAGGCAGGCCCCGGGAAGGGATGCAACTGGCCAGGCCCCAGGCCAGCACAGCTCAACCACTGCCCTCGCTGATGGCTGCCTGTCCCCTTCCATCATCCAGAACGCAAACCCTCAATGTAAACCATACTATGCAAGAGGAAAGCAAGAGGAAACACGGGGAGCCAGGGGGTTGCCGCGGGGTGGCCTGAGAGACACTTTCTTCCTCTGAAAAACCACGGGGTCCCAGTGTCCACAGGCTCCTTGGAGGCCTGCAGGGGGCAGCAGGGCGTCTTTGTGGTAACTGAGACCGAGGGAAGCTGACTGGTGCTGGCTGGGCTTCTCACCACCACAGGTTTGGGGGCTCCTCAGCCACTCGGCTTTTAAACAAGGTGATCTCGTCCAGGTGTACCATGGGCACATCTCGGATGACATCTGTCAGGCCCTCGTGGAGCAGAGGGAAGATGACGACGTTCAACGCGGGTCTCTCAGCCTGAAAACTGAACCAGAGGCAAACCATTAGAAGGGGCAGGTGGGAGATTAGGGGCCCGGTGCGGGGGAGAGGGGGCGCTGCCGGCACCTGCCCTCTGCACACAAGCTCCGTGCAGCTCCCTGAGACTCTGGCCCCTGGTGTCACCCTGACATAGCTGATAAAGACACTAGCTGTGAGGGCCCCTTGGGGGCAGCCAGATCTGGGAAGGGGAAGGAGCATGCAAGCCAGCCAGAGGGAGGGGCCCGGAGCTGCACACTCTCTGGGTGTTGAAGAGGACCTCCTGAGATCAGAGGCCCAGGGAGGCCCTTCCTGCTCTGCAGAGCCAGTGAGGACTCATTGCTCGGACAAAGAAGGGACAGATGGCCGAATCCACACAGCCTTGGGGCACCCTCAAGGGAGGATGATCTGAGGTCAGTGAGGCAACAACAGGCTCTGAGACAAGTGAAGCCAGGGCCACCATTCCAGAACCACAGGAGGTACGGCAGACCACAGCAGCTCTGCTCCCTGCCCACTGCGTGGGGAGACTCATGTGAGGTGCAGAGTGTCCACTGTGTGCCAAGCACCATGCTGAGTCTGACAGATAAGACCCTCTCCACGGCCCCACAGGCCCACGGTGGACTCTCAGCTGGCCAGAGGCAGAGTGGGGCCCTAGCCAGCGGGAGCAAGGCCAGGCCCAGGTCCTCCCTGCCCCACCCCTCCCTCCCTCCCTCCCCCACGAAGGCAACACAAAGCAACCCCAGTGTGGACACGGCTCTCAAGCTAGAAGAAGGAACACTGCAGGGTCCACAGAGTGAGATGACCCTACAGGTCAGGGCACAAGGAACCCATGCAATAGAGAGCCTTGGCGTTTGCCAAAACTTAGTTGAGGCCCCTGCAGCCCCAGCGCCTTCCTTCCTAGAGGCAGGAGCTCCGTGGCCTCTGCACACGGCCCCACCTGAGGCAGCACAGTGTTGACTTCTGTAAATTCCTGCCAGAAAGATACTCATAAACCCCCTGTTTTGGCACCAGGGGACACCTCCCGGTTCTATGCAGCATTCTTCTTTGGCAGCAGCGTCCATGATCCAACCTTGCAGATGACACTGCAGTTGTCCCTGCTGCAAACCCACCATGCAACTTATCCCATTTGAAACAAAATATCCCCAACCCAATAATTTTTTAATGGTTTTTTTTTTTTAATTGTCAATGGACCTTTTATTTATTTATATGCAGAGCTAAGACTCGAACCCAATGCCTCACACATGCTACACAAGCACTCCACCACTGAGCCACGACCTCAACCCTCCCCAACCTTTGACCTGCATTTAAAGGCACCTGCCTTCCAACCCCCTGAGTCACTGGGGTGCTGAACAAGCTGCTGTGGGGGGAGGGCACAGGATTGGTTCCTCACAGGTAAGGAATGGAGCCCTCCAGGAATCCCGGCCACAGCTGAGCTGGGCAGGTCCCAGCCTTCCCCACATGCAGTGAGGTGCGGGCAGACACAGTGTGACAAGCTTCAATCACACTTCTCTCTGCCCTTTATTATACCTGTCAAGGATGCATCATGGTGAAGAAAAACTTCTGCCTAAGGCCACTAAAAATATGCCAGGGAGCCACACACAGTGACACAGGTCTGTAATCCTGGCTGTTCAGGAGGCTGAGGCAGGAGGAATGCGAGAAAGATACTCGTAACCCCCCCCCCCCCATTTTGGCACCAGGGGATGCCTGGGCAACTTAGCAAGACCTTGTCTCAAAATTAAAAGGGCTGGAGGTGCAGCTCAGTGGCAGAGTGTCCCTGGGTTCAGGCCATTTAAATAGAGCACTCAGCCACCCTCCAAAATGCCTTCCCTGCACACTCCATGATTGCTGAGAGATGCAGGGTTTGTCTTAAGCTCACTATTTAGTTTAGAAAGAAAACATCACCAGCAACACGTGAAGGTGTGGGCTAGTGGCACACAGCTCAGGCTGTGTCTCCCAGGGACACAGAAGCTGGCGCCTGTGTCTCCTCATCCACTCTGTCTTGTGGCTTATGTGACACATCAAAGTACAAACCACTTGCGGCTGCTTCGTGGTTTTGCCGTCCTTTAGGATCCCATTCAAGCCACACACCACGCCTGCAGTGGGGTCCCCACAGTCTCCGAAATTAACACCCAGGCATTCACCAGGGCCTGGAGGCTGCCTTTCCTGGTAGCTAGTGCTCTAGTTGGCAGGGCTACCACATCTATTTAGCCAAAGCCCTAGCTGGACACAGTCTGGGGACTTTTTTAAATATTTATTTTTTAGTCACAGTTGACACAATACCCTAAATTAATTTATTTATTTTTATATACGTGGTGCTGAGGATCGAACTCAGGTCCTTGCATATGCTAGGGGAGTGCTCTACCACCAAGCCACTACCCCAAGCATCTGAGGACTTATTAAAATTTGTTCTTTTCAGATATACATGGCAGTAGAGTATATTTTGACATACTATACACACACATAGTATCCTAATTCTATACACACACAACTTATCCAAATTAGGATCCCATTTCCTTTTCTTTTTGGGACCAGGGATTAAACCCATGGGCACTTAACCAATGAGCCATATCCCCAGCCCTTTTATTTCTTTTTTAATTAATTATTTTAGTTGTAGATGGATACAATACTTTCACTTATTTATTTATTTTTATATGGTGCTGAAGATCGGACCCAGTGCCTTACGTGTTCTGGGCAAGTGCTCTGCCACTGAACCCCAGTCCCAGCCCCTCCCCAGCCCTTTTTATGTTTTATTTTGAGACAGGGTCTCACTAAGTTGCTGAGGCTGGCTTTGAACTCATGATCCTCCTGCTTTAGCCTCCTGAGTCACTGGGATGGCAGGCATGCGCCACTGTGCCCAGCAGAGTCCCGTTCTTGTGTTGTATGGGATGCGGAGTTCCACGGGTCGTGTATTCATATACAAACACAGGACAGGGACTTGGTTTTTACTCTTATTACCAATAAACACCACTCAATACAGTATAATTTCTTCTGTATTTTGAGGTGTTTTCTCAGAATAAATCCCAGAAATGGGGTTACTGGGGTCTAAAGAGCATGAAGATTTTTACAACCAAAAGACAACCCACAAGGGACTCAGATGGCACTGCTGGGCCATAGTGAGAGGCCAGTCCACAGCTCCCGCCTGGGCCCAGAGAAGGCCACTCAGGAATGAACACGCGGGGACGCAAGGCCAGCAGCACACACATCACACCTGTCGGCACCCCTTCAGACAGAGCTCAGACAGGAACGTTGGGCCCTCAGTGCACCCCCAGGATCCTGTCAGGAACACCTTCAATCAGCCCATACCCTGGTTTCTGCCCAACGGTCCCTCCGGTGACAAAATGACCAGCTGGAGTTTTTCTGTCCATGCAAAGAAAAAAGGGAGGGAGAGACATGGGGAAACACCGTGTGGGTCCCCGCTGTCCTGCCACATGAGATACGACGACCTGTCCTGGATACTAAGGGAGAAATGGCAGGCTGCACACCAACAGTCACAAATGCATGGTGCCTGGAGCAGGAAAGCAGGTACTGTGCACGAGAGCCCATGGCCAGGAAGCTGCGGGGAAGAGCGTGAGGCTGGAACTGCTGGACTCGGGGCGTCCACAGCAAATGTCCCCAGGGTGGGGCCTCCCGAGGGCCGTGGGCTGGTGAGGCAGATTCAGGGACCCCCCCCAACTCCCACCTGGACCTTCTCACCCAGGCCCCAACCCAGACAGGCCACTGAGAGGCACTGTCCCTCCAGACACTTCACACACTGAGAGCACAGAGCCTGCGCCTACCCCACCCACGCCTGGAGCTTCCCAGAGCACCCCCAGAGTTACTCCTTCATGACACCCCAGGAAAGGAGGGACACAGTGCAGGGGAGGGAGGATAGTTGAAGGAAGCCCCCTGCATCTCTTCCAAGGTGCACCTTCTGGTGACACTTGGTGCTGCTGCAGCCAGGTCACCATTGACCTGGCTTCTACCCAACCCAGCCCACCGTCCCTTACCTGGAAAATGGGGCTCCAGTGACAAGGGAAGAATTCCCAGGCCACCCTCTGTGGCCCCACACTCAGACTGCAGAAGACTGACTCCTTGGTGGCTGAGGAAGAATACCAGATATGGCCACACTGGCCCGGGGGCCCCATGGGAGGTCCCTGGTGAACATCTTCCCTTGAATCAGCAGCAACCAGGGGCCGCGGTCAGGCCTAGCATTACTCTGTGGCCTCTACATGCTGCCTTTGCTGCAGGGGGGTCTGGGTACCCGGCCACCCTTAGAGGCCTGCCAGCCCTGGCCTCCTGAGGATGCTCCAGGGAGCCAGAGCTCAGTAGCATCCTGCTCTGCATCTAAGCTCCCTGGCTGAGCCTGCGGCCCAGCACCCCGCTGGCCTTGTCCTTCCCCAGGGCACGTGCAATCAGCCTTCCAGGCAGCTCACAGGAGAACTGAAGTTGAAAAACTGCGCTAATTCCACTTTTAAAACCCACTTTCAATTCTAAAGCCCTCAGTATTTGCCACATAATCCACTCCCTCCCCCCCATAAACTCACGTCTCAACACAGCTGCAGACTAGACCTAGACCGAGTCCTCTGCGTTCCCCCCAGAGTCAGAGCAGGCGGCCCTTGAGTACAGCCTCCAGGGCTGCCCCGAGCCAGGCCTTGCCGGGAAGGCAGGGAACATGGCCTTCAGTGACGTTAGCGCCTCCGGCCTCAGTGGCAAAGGCCAGGCTGAGAACACACTCCAGGGCCACTTGGGGGAAAGAATTTTTACCTGGGCCTCAGAGACAGAGTGATATGAATGTTAGATCAGAGTCACACCAGCCTGTGGGCCCTGCCTCTCCTGTTGGCAGAACGGGATTCCTGAGCATCCTGGAGGAAGGAGGCTGCAGGATCACATGGGCCTCCAGGGCTATCGAACCCATGGCCATCAGGGACGAGTGGGTGAGGACCCTGTGATAGCACAGGCATCTGGACACCTGTGAGGGCCTAGCCCATGTGCTCCTGGGAGCAGCTTCAGAGCCGGCATGTCCTCATTGTG